GCCTTTTATGTTCACAGATTATACGTTTCTGTAAATCTATTACTCTTACGCATTTTTTATACGCCAGTATACAGCACTTTTATGTGTTGGTAAATTTAAAAACGCGCAAGCATATCAAGTTTACAAAGATTCACACAGTGAACAATTCTTTTTAGAAGCTTTAAGTGTATCACAACTGATTATTTTTTTGTGAAGATCGTGCAAACTCATATCCTGAACAGAACCGTATTGCTATGTAAAAGCCATTCCCGAAAATCGCATCACGATGCGCCGAATGGTTCGTCGTGTACAGCGCTGGTTTCGAGAGAGAATACATCTTGTTGAAGAGGCCTTCCCGAGGCGTCTCCTCTCAGCCGTCACAGTAGCTCAGTTGGAAAGAGCGTCGGTAAGAGGATCAGAAGCCCTCGGGGTAAGGGAACGAATCCTGGTTGTCTCGCTTTTTTCGTTTACTGCCCGCATCTCGGACTGTTCCGAAATTTACCCGGTCGCGCGCTTCGGACAGTTCCAGAATCTTTCTGATTTCTCTCGTTTTCGGCGTACTTTCGGAGTAGTCCGATACGTCCGGACTGTTCCGCGAGCTGCCCGATCTTCGGGCTGGTTTCGGAATGATATATTTTCATAAGGGCGTATGTGTGATGCAAAAGCGTTAGCCGAAAACCGCATAACGATGCGTTGATTCGTTCGTTCTGTATAGTGCTCGTCCTCGAAGTGACTGCTGCGCCTGGCTGAAGAGGCCTTCCTGAGGCATCTTCTCTCAGCCGTCAGCTTAGCTCAGTTGGAAAGAGCGTTGGAATAAGGAGCGGAAGACCGGCAGGTAGGGGATCGAATCCCGCTCGTCTTTTTTTTGTTTTTTTTGTGCTACTCTGCCGGACATATTTCGGGCAGTCCGGAGCACGGACTAGTCCGAAAGGCGCCCGGGCAGCGCGCTTCGGGCTGTACCGGAATCTTGCTGATTTTACTCCTTTTCGGTACTAATTTCGGCAAGTCCGGGATGTGGTTTCGGACTGTACCGCGGGCGACATTCGGACTGCCCGATCTTCGGACTCCTTTCGGTATGAAACGGTTTTATAAGGGCATCTAGGTTACACTTGGTGTCAACAAGACTGCCATCACGGAAAAAAAAGATTCGCTGAGCCAGCTAATATATTGACTGGTATCTGGACAGACAAGCACATAAACTTCTGAAACCACTATATTGTCTACTATAATCAATCATTGGCTGTGCCAGTCAAAGATAAGTTGTATGAAGTAATGATTTGCCTGCATCACTAAGGTAGACCTCGACTGATTTAGGTAAGGGATGAGCTCTTACAGCTAATTTTTTAGGCAAATCATTACTTCATACAACTTATCTTTGACTGGCACAGCCAATGATTGATTAGAGTAGACAATATAGTGGTTACAGAAGTTTATGTGCTTGTCTGTCCAGATACCAGTCAATATATTAGCTGGCTCAGCGAATCTTTTTTTTCCGTGATGATTGCTCTAAAAAGTCTTTCAGCAATTTCAGGACTTGGGTCTACGAGAAACATTCCTGCTCTGCCAACTCTGTTCAGTTTAATAGTTCAATGTCATAGCTTTACATATTATTGTATGTTGTGTTTTCAGAATCATGTCGAGCCTGGATGGATCTTTGAACAGTTCTACAAAATCCCATATGTCCAATGTGTCTGGGATGTCAGAAATCAGTCAGAAGAGAAAGAAAAGACCTCCCAAGCAGATCTAGAATAGCCCTGCGCTAATCAGCCTAGTGGAGCAGCACCCGGTCTTATGGGATTTTAGCCACCCAGGGTACCACAACCTTCACAGCCGCACCCAGCCATGGGGAGAAATTGCCAAAAACTTCCATGGGACCTCAGGTAATGTCCTTTGCGGTCAGTAGCCTATTCAATTGCACCATAGCACGCTAAAGTTGGTAATTCATGTTTTCAATTTCAGGAGAGCAATGCGCCTGTCTTTGGGGTACTGTGAGAAAGAATTTAAAACAAAGTGAGGAAAGACACAGGAAAGCAACTACCTCTGGTAAGGCTGGGAAGCGCCAAAGACCCTTTGTCTATGCCAAGATGCTATCCTTTCTAAGAAAACTGCAAAACGAGAAGGGAGAAATTATTGAGAGCAGCGATCGTACCGCTATAGACCACATAATGCATATCCAGCCTGTTTAAATGTAATGTTAAACTTCCCTTATAGTCCGGTTTGTACCGGTAGGCTGATTGGTGAGTCTGGTGCGTGCGCCGAGGTGGGCCTCTGGAAGGGCGATCCTGGCCTGACGGAAGTGACGCTGGCGGGCATCGGTGAGGGCGATGTAGGCCTGATGGCAGAGACGCTGGCGGACCTCGGTGAGGACGATCTGGACCTGATAGAAATGACGCTGGCAGAACCTAACCGTAAGCTCTCTGAGATTAGGGTGTTGTCCCCTTTAGTAGTAGGCTGAGGGTCTCGTGCCGGGCCGCGTGCTGGTGGGGACGTGATCCATGAGATGCTGGGGCCGCCGGTGAGGGCGATCTGGACCTGGCAGCACCTAATTGAAATCTCTCTGTGAATCGGATGTTTTTCTCTTCAGAATCAGAAAGGGCATCCACAGTGGTGGGGAAAGGGTCTCGTGCCGGGCCGCGTGCTGGTGAGGACGACGTGGAGCTGATCCACGAGGTGCCGGAGGCCGGCGTTGAGGGCCATCTGGACCTGGTGGCATCTAATTGAAATCTCTCTGGTAATGGGATGTTGTTCTCTTTACAATCAGAAACGGCCTGCGAAGTATTGTGGAAAGGAGCCCTTTGCGAGGTGGGTTCTGCGGGGAGGCCAGCCAGCCAGCTGGGCACTAAGCTGGGAGTCAATAAAATGTTAACCCTAAGGCCGTCGTCCTGAAATCAAAATAACAAACTGCGTTCGAATTGATTTTCCTTCTATAAAGTGGCTGTTTGACCCCACGCACGTAGTGCCTTGTTAATGATTGTGGTTCAAACTGGTGTGGGCAGGCTACCGTATGCGAGGGGGTTTTTACTTGCGTAATACACTGTACACCTAAGTTAGGTATTACGCATAGTGTAATACCTAAAAGTAGGAACACATGCTCTAAAATGGTAGAATTTTGGTTGCAAAGCCTGTTTAACAACGGTGCAATACCACGTAATACGCGCAATATGTTATACACTGTACACAAAAATTCCGAGTGAAAACCCCCTTGCCCGTTTGTTAAAGGCAAGACTGTACATACCCTTGGACTGTCATATCCTGCCCGCATTAACGCAACTGGTTCGTCTTGGTCCATGTCGTCACTGTCGTCGCCATTGTCCTGGAAACATTACTCGGTCTTCAGCGCCAGAACATTCGAACCACCGCAGCTCGACGCGTGGCCACCGTCATTCGTGCCCTCCCACGCGACCGTGCTGTCTCTGCCTGAAGCCATGAGCACCTTGCCCCGTAAGAAAAACAAGAAGAACAAGATGGCCGCCGCGTGGCGTAGCGCGGTCTCACAACAAAGCAGAAAGCTGCCGGTAAAAGGGCGTGGATCAGTGTTTTTGCTTCTCCTTTGTGGTTTGAGGCATTTTTAAAGACCAAATCGTGTTCGAGGTTTAATTTTAAGATATATTTGTCCAAAATTTGTTAAATTTTCCCGTGATGTAAAGTTAAATCGCAATTTACATCTGAAATCGGGGAGTTTAACCTCTTCAAAGGCTCAGTAAGTTTCCCAATCTTTTTCGATTCTCTAAAATTTTAATCTCTTTCTGTATCTCTTTTGATTTTTCCGTCATATTATTATTATTATCATTATTAGTACTGAAGTTATTATAATTTTTGTTATTTGCTAGGTGATGAGGAAAGGTAGAACTTGCCTCTATCCAAGGTGCAACCATTGTCAGGGCAATACTGTGGCAAAATGTAAGTTTAGAAGTTTCCCTAAGGACCTGTTTAAAGCTCGGAGATGGTTATTCCTATGTGGCATAATGAACCTCACCCCGAAAAACTTCTTACGCACTGGACCAACCTGCCTGAAGTTGGCCAGAAAAAAAGTTGGCCAGAAAAAAAAAACTTAGTCAAAATTTTCGTTTTTAGACCTGGGGAACAATATATCAAAAGATGGCGGGACACTTTTTCGGAAAGTCTTGGCCACTTACGCCCTGGGTCGACTTTGAAGGGCGAGACATTTTTATCCTTGGTGGAACAAAATCTTATATTTTCCCGAGGTGTTCCCAGACGGCCTAGCTACCATCCAGCGTGGTCACCGGATTTTGTTCCACCAAGGTTACGAAGCTGCAGCCCTCTGAAAACGGCTCAGAGCGCGGTACCCAAGGCACGACCGAAAAATGGACCAAAAATTAACTGTCCAAAAATGCGTTACTGGACCTGAGGAACAACATATCAAAAGATGGCAGGACACTTTTTCGGAAAGTCTTGGCCACTTTCGCCCTGGGCCGTCTTTGGAGGGCGAGACATTTTTATCCATCATAATCGTTGTCGCCTAAAACACAGAAACGATAGCAATCACTCAATGCATAGTTTAGGTTAGAAACTTTCCCGCAAACTCCAAAGAAAGTTTCTTTGAACAAATTACACAAATACATGATGTATGATAAAAGAAATCTTAGCACCCATGTCCTAGACGATTCCTTTCCTTCCCATTCTTCGTTGTCGAAGAAAAACTTTAACTTGTCACCAATATCCAAATGGCCCTTGTCAAATACTGCCTCACTCTCTTTGATGAGGTTGAATGAGTCGTCTCGCGGGGCATAGACGACCAGCCATACAACATCATTGTCTGACATTTTCCGCAAAAATCTAGATTCCAACACTTCTTATATCAATATAATCCAAGCGGAAAGGCAGAGGCCTACACACACCCACACCGGCCGGCTAACTTTTCGCGGTATTTGTATGTGGCCTAGAGACCGCTGGAGGCTTCTCGAACCAGAGGGAACGTTCTGGAAATCCACTCCACATCTACCAACCTCTTGTCCTGGTGCCTCAGGGTTTTGCGGGTTGGCTACTACACTGCCGATGGATTTGTTTTTTTCTTGAAGCTGTTTCTTCTTTATTATGCAGAAATTCGACCAGTGACCAGGGTTTTTACAATGACCACAGGTACTGTCTTTGGCTGGGCACAAATTTCTTGCATGTCTTTCAGGGTCACCGCACCATCCACAGGGTTTTGGTTTAGCGCCCTGAGGTGGAGGTATTTGAGGTGGGTTTTTTCCTGATGAGGGGTTCTTATCTTCTACACTTTGTTTTTCTTGGTGCTTGAAGTTTTTGTTTTTCTTATTTTTGTTGCTAGTGGATTTTTGATGCTAGTGGACTTTTGTTGGTTGCTGGTTACCTGGCTGATGTCATGGACTTTGCTGGTTGGCGACTTCAGCATGTTTTACTTTGTCTATCACTTCTTCCAATGTTGGCTCTATTTCCTGATTTTGGAGCTGCAGGGACAGAGTTTTGTCTGCCATCCCAACAATCAGCCGGTCTATGGTGAGTTCATCAGTCATGGTGTTGAATAAGCACTTCTTCGCCATGGTTTGAAGGTCTGTGATGAATTCATCAGCTGATTCACCTTCTCTCTGCACTCTGGTGTTGAAGCGAGCCCTGATGTACAGTTTAGTCTTTCTAGTCACATAGTGGTTGTTGAACTTTTGCTGGACATGAGTCAGGCTCTTCTTCTCTTCCCCTGAGAGCTTGAAGGTGTTTAAGATATCGTTGGCCTTCCCTCCCATGAAGTACAACATCTTGCTGATTTGTTGATCCTCCTCCATGTATTGGAGTGGGGTCGTTGTGCGGTACTGTTCGAACCTCGTTATCCACTCTGACCAGTCTTCGAAACGAAAGGAAAACGGTTTTGGTGGAGGAGTTGCGTTTCCGCATAATACGTTGAGTAGGTTAGCCGGTAGTTCCAGTTTCTTCTGTTTTTGCGGCTTCCAACTTTTGGCCTAGATCGTTCAGCACTGCATTTTGGTTAGCGATTTGCTTCTGTAGAGCTGTCTTCTGTGAATCCTTCGAAATCTTCCTGAAATTCGTCGTCGGACATGAACGGCCTCGCACGTGGTGGTGGTCTTCTTGTCTTGGAAGTTTTCTTGAGGTTTCACTTTTCACAACACTGAGGACTTTTTCACTTGCTTCTTTCTTCGGGATGAGTTCGTATCTTCGGCGCTGTCACCATGTAACACGTTCTGTACTTGCGTGTCTATTAAATTATACCTATTAAGTTCTGTGTAGAGGTTTCTGGAGAACACAGGGATATGAACTGCTCTATCGACTTGCTGAGGCTGAACTGAGTGTATTTTGACTGTTTTGAAACTGAGTGAGGATATGACAAGAAACAATCGACTATTGACAAATGACAAATGATTATTAGGTATGCTCGGAAACAAAAAGGTCAGCTGTGGTAGCTTACAGCTTACGCGTTTGCTGGCAGCGTGACAGCAAACTTTTTAGCTCTCCGGGCTAATCGACGTTGCTTGAGAAAGACATCACCACAAAAATTCCAAAGTTCGCTCTTCCAGCCTGTTTTGATTAGCTGATACAGCTAAAATGCACTAGCTGGGGAGAGCCAACGGATTTTCCAGTGTGACTTATTGCACACAAGTGTACTAACAGATTCTCGCAACTAGTGTAGCCTTATCTAGTAAACTCCGCGCACTCCAGGCGATTAGGTGTAACAACTGACCACATTGGGTACCAAAACGTAGCTTGTAAAGTGTCAGAGGAAATTACTAGTCTCCAAGAGCTTTGGTGATAGCTTCTAAACA